ACCTCTAATTGTATATAAATGATATTTAGCCATGTATGAGGATTCCTGAAATCACCCCACTTACCCGACATACCCCTCTCAGCAGAGAGGCCTTCCATCTACAATTGCTGCAGTAGGAGCCCGGACTGCATTCTCAGCAATGCTAAAGTGAACATGTGGCCAAGTTCTGGGCATTGCAGTATTTATATATTCTTAACAAGAAGTAAATTAACTTTAAATCATGCCCTCATTGACCTCTGTAGCTGAAGGTAGTATGGGGCAGATGATCCTCAAAGTTCACAGTCAAAGCACTAAAGTTGTCCAAGTCTGTTCTCCCATCAGCTCAGATCTCCCAGCAGCTCAGGTCACCCTGCTCTCCCAGCAGCTCAGGTCTCCCAGCAGCTCAGGTCACCCTGCTCTCCCAGCAGCTCAGGTCACCCTGCTCTCCCTTCCCAACAGTGACTCCACAGCCCATCTTCCCCTGTTCTCTCCTCCCAGAGCATCTGTCCTTACATTAAAGATTAGAAGGCAGTAAGGCTGCCGAATCACTGCTGGGTGGTGGAAGCAGGGTGAGCACAGGAGGAAAATTACAGGAGGATGTCTGCTGTGAACTTTGTGGTTGAATTTCTCCATAGTGCTTGCAGCTACAGAAGTCATTGAGGACCTGTTTTAAAAGCTCACTTACCACTGCTGACCCACCTAAAAAATGCTAATTGCCTAGCTGTCTCTGACCTCCATTCTTTAACCAAGTACTGGCACAGAGCAAGTGAAGAACAGGGAAAGTCAGAACTCCTGAAGTGCATACTTGTTCTCAGAGTATTCAGGCATTTTGATTAGCATAGTAGCCAAGCAATTCCAAAAGTAGAGCTCGGCTCTGGCCGTCTACGTCATTTCTCAGCACAGGTTTAACAGACACAAGGGGAGCATTGAAAGAAGGCGTTGGACTCTTCGATATGCAGATATTATAAACGTGTTTTATTTCACTTTATGACAACAACAAAAATACAAAATTGTTCTATAAATATACAGAAACACGAGAGCAGACACCGAGGAGTATTTACAAGAGACGGCACATTGCTAAATAAAATAAAAAAGTAACACGGGGCCATCACACACCATAGTCCCCCCCCCACCCCCCTTCCCTTCATGAAGTAACACTGTTTGTTCTGTGGAGCAATGATGTCACCTATACGGCAGCACCAAGCCTACAACATGGCTGCCTCTTGCTGCCGTTCTGGTGAAGGAATGACCTTAAGAAATGGCACTTAAAAAGAGATGCTAGTTGCCTGGCTGATATGCTCACTCTCTGGCTTCAGCAGTTGGAGTGACTGACCCAGAACAAGTATGAAGACTTAGAAATCTCCATTGCCAGCTCTGCATACTGAATCTGAGCTAGTGAAGCAGATGATTGAAGCCAGAGAGTGAGCATGACAGCCAGGCAGCTAGCATTTGCAGAATGAAAAAAAGTCAGCGGTGGCAGCCTCCATGTTCCCCTCAGGAAAGGTTTCCTTTAAAGCGGACACAATTATGTATGACAACGCTTGGAGAACCCAGTCACTTCTGAATAGACGGGAGAGGTATTTAGTAGGGATGCACCGATACCGGTACTAGCATTGGCACTGATGCCGAGTATTTGGGCGAGTACTCCTACTCGCCCAAATGCTTCCGGTATCAGGTAGCCGGGCTTCCTGCTCTCTATTACACGCTGATTGGCCGGGAAGCTGGCTCTCTCGTCACTTGGAAGTGTAATGACGCGCTGCCCGGCTTCCTGATTGGCCAGCTTCTGCCCAATCAGGAAGCCAGGCGCTCTGTAATGATGCGGGGCCCAGCTTTCTGATTGGCCGGGAAGCCAGCTTCATTTAGAATTCACTTAACTGCTTGAGAGGGAAAATCTGTTTAGGCATCCTGACAGCTGCGGCTGTCAGCATACAATAGTGGAGAGGGAAGATTCCTCCAGCCGTGCTGTTTAGTGGATGGGAGAATTGAGCGATTTTTCTTGTGTAGACTGCCAGCCTGAAAGAGAGCAATCATTATGTGCATTGTCAGCTTAAGGCCTCATTAACACGAGAAACGGCCGGCAGGTACAGCTCCATGCTGCGTGCACGCCCGTATCGAGCAGCTCCCGAGAAGGACAGGTGCTGCGTGTGATTAGAACGCAGCCCCTGTCCTTCTCTATGGGACTACGCGGCCGTACGCCCCCCTACGCTCACCCCAAGTGCAGGTCCGTGCGGGTGTCCCTGCTCAGACGCAGACGGGATCCATCCTGTCATCGTACGAGTACAGACACCCGTATAGACGTGCAGGGCGGGTGAGCATAGGGGGCCGTACGGCCGCGTAGTCCCATAGAGAAGGACGGGGGCTGCTTACTAATCACACGCAGCACCTGTCCTTCTCGGGAGCTGCTCGATACGGGCGTGCACGGAGCTGTACGTGCCGGCCTTTTCTCGTGTGAATGAGGGCTATGACGGGCCCTTCACAGATCCTGGATCATATGATGTTAGCACACAGAGTATGGTGTGGCTGCTGATGATTTGGCTTATTCTATAGAGATGCCAACTTTTCCAATTCTTCTTCAGGGATGATTGCATTTCATTCTGCCCGAGATCCGGGTTTAAGAAAACATTTACAAGAGACACATAAAAGCTGCCGCTACCAATCCTCTTCTGGAGATCCTAGTTGTCTGCCGAGTACACTGACCAGCTGGGCTTAATAAGCCTTTAGTCAGAAATGCTGTGTGTCCTTCAACTGGAACAAGAATGTACAACAAAGTATGAAAGCAAGAGGCTGACACAACAGGCACGTCATCAGCATGTACAGAAGAAGCGGCAGCCTCTGTGATGGCAGAGCCAAGTAGCAGCCACACTCCCACAAGGGTCCACACACACACACTTGTGTGCCAGGGGAAGACAAAGGGTGTGTCTTCTTACCAGGTCTTTTACTAAGTGCTGATTACTGAGTGCTGTGGGTCTAACATTGGTGCCTATTAGGTTGCATGGTCACATTTAGACATTGTGCACAACAGCTATAATAGGAAAATGGAGATAGGCCTATACAAATGGAGGCGTGTGTGTTTTTGGGGCTTCACTTGAACTTTAAAGTGACACTAAACTCAGGAGTTAAATCTAAAAATGTTGGATGTTCAGATCCCAGTGCAGATACTTGGAATTTTCATGAGATCTACCAGGGTTGTAGCGGGGGCCTGGCTCTGGCGCTCCACCACTGTCCGGAAATCATTAGTCTGGACACATGACAACAATAATGTATCAGTACCTGAATAAATGATATTGTTGCGTCCCTTTATATATGTTAATAAAAAAATTAATCAGTTAAATAGAATAAAACAGAGATGTACAAACCCCGGGAGCTCCGTGTGCTCCTTACAAATGGCAGCTGCCTCCTAACTTTGGAATTTTTCTCTAGTCTAGTCTCGGAGCTGGAAAAGTATTGGTACTTGTACCGAGTACTGTACTTGGTATCGGTGCGTCCCTACTACAAATACATTCAAGGACCTTAACTAGTAACAAAACTGGATCTTATTTGTGTATCACTCGGCTGTAGATCCTCCAATCATCTCTGAATTGGTGCTGACACTGTCCTTCCTTCTGGAGGGTGACTACTTTTGTTCCCCATGGTCCCTGTGTGTGTTGTAAAGTAGTCACCGCTCCAACCTCGCTCCTGTGAGGGACTACAATCTCACATTTAGTTTACTGATTTGTATTGTGATTGTAGTCCATCACAGGAGTGAGCTTGGAGTGGTGGCTACCAACACACGCAGGGACCATGAGGAACAAAAGTATCCCCCCTTCCAGAAGGACGGACAGTGTCAGCACCAATTCAGAGATGATTGAAGGATCTACAACCGAGTGATACACAAATATGATACATTTCTGTTAATAGTTAAATACTTGAATACATTAGTAAGGTTGGACTCCTGAGTTTAGTGTCACTTTAAGGTGAGTGAATGACTTAAAGTGATGCTGATGAAATCACTTACAATGGATGCTGCTGGTTGATGTTTAAATGTTTTTGTTTCCTGTAGAATCAGCTGTTCCCCGGAGCACTGGCCCTGATATCCTGTTTTAGGGTGGCTCCTTTCCCTTGCAGGGTCCAAGGGAGACACCTTTGTGTGTGCTAGTAAGCTATGTGTGTCTCCACAAACACAGCAAGGCAGACTACTCCCCTCCCCCATTCCTCCAAGCTAGTAGATGGACAACTGCTGGACACTGCTCTGTCCCTTGTGATCTTGTACTGGACAGGAAGTTTAGGGAAGCCGAGGTGAGAGTCGGAGCTGTTTGGAAACATGATGAGTGTAAGTGCTTGGGCAAAAATTGTAAGAAAAACTTTGCTGGGCAATCTGTATTTGTTTGATCTCCTAATGCAGGGGTAGCCAAACTCCCGCCCTCCAGCTGTGGTGAAACTACAAATCCCATGATGCATCTCTCTCCGGGAGTCATGCCTGTGGCTGAGATTCTTGCAATGCTTAATGGGATTTGTAGTTCCACCACAGCTGGAGAGCCGGAGTTTGGCTACCCCTGTCCTAATGTGTCATAAGAGGTCTTTTGCTTCTGGCTTAGAGATCCTAAGACGACGTGGCCACACACATTATCTGAAATTCTAATATTTCCATGTATAAATGTGACTGCAAAGCTCCGCAATGCAATACAAAGATTTGTACCTGGAGTCCGGAGCCTTGTCTGTCTGAACTCGCATCTTGTAAATGGCGAGAACGAGAAAAAAACAAAGGGGGGGGGGGGGTAATAATAAATCTCTGCAGTCATAAAAATGACCAGCTGCCCAGACTTGGCGCCTTCCTTCTAGGAAAGTCCCCTTTAAATCCCGAGATCTGGCTTGTTTTTCCGAGAAGGGAGTTAAATGTCATCTGTGATTGTCTGTCTGGGTTACAGGACTTGTGCTCCTCCTGTAGTACATCACATAACCTGGATTCAATACTGCACTTTATTACCTATAGAAAAAGTCACCTCATCCTTCAAGGGGCATGTCCCAGCTGGTGCGAGGCTTGGCAATGGAGGGCAAGAAATAAAAACCACAGGAGCTACTAAAAAACGGGAGAGTCGCAAAGTGTACAAGGTCCTCCTAGCAATCTCTTAATCCAATCCAGATCTACAAAACAAATATGAAACATGAAATGTTAGTGGAGGCAGCGATGGTACCCAGACACATACATGATCACACCATTACGTTAAAAGATTTTATACCCGCCACACATTATTTCCAGACTCACCTGACCTATGTTCATGCTTCACATCTTTTGGACTTGCCCGGCCCTCCGCCAGTTCTGGGACCAGGTATGCGCTCTTACTCAGAAATTTATGGACGCTCAGGTCCCCCGAGACGCTGCCTTCTTCCTACTGCATCACAACACTATCCCCCTACGTACTTACACCCACTCGCTCATCAGACACGTAGTCAACACGCATGTGTCCCGGCCCTATGGAAGAAACCCGAACCCCCCCACATTGGACAGGTCCTAGACCGCATCCAAGATATATACCTCATGGAAGACCTCACGAGCTCCCTTAAAACACAACAGTAGAGAGGCATCATGGCACACTCACAAACCAGCATGTAAAACAACTTGTCTCACCACTAAGGACAATGACAGAGGTTTGGATACACGTCTTCTGCAGAGGATGTGAAAGCCGCACTGCCGCGCCAAGGCACCTCTTATAGTGCGGTCCTAACTCTAAACTATGAGAGTCTCCATCTTGGAGCACATGGGGGCAGAAGATTTCAAATTGGGTGCAGGTTTGTCAGGAGGAAGCCCAGCCTCCTTAAAAGCACAGAAACACACAAGGGATCCCGCACATCCCAATGGCAGCTGAGAAACCCCATGCGTCGCTGCACCAAATCGGTCAAGCAAAACAAACGACAAACGTACTCAACAATTTGTCACCAAATTGTGTGCGGGATCCCTTGTGTGTTTCTGTGCTTTTAAGGAGGCTGGGCTTCCTCCTGACAGGCCTGCACCCAATTTGATATCTTCTGCCCCATGTGCTCCAAGATGGAGACTCTCATAGTTTAGAGTTAGGACCGCACTATAAGAGGTGCCTTGGCGCGGCAGTGCGGCTTTCACATCCTCTGCAGAAGACGTGTATCCAAACCTCTGTCATTGTCCTTAGTGGTGAGACAAGTTGTTTTACATGCTGGTTTGTGAGTGTGCCATGATGCCTTTCTACTGTTTTACTGTTCAAAGCCCATTTCGTGTGCACCTTACTGTATAACTGGTAACAAATTGTTGAGTGCGTTTGTCGTTTGTTTTGCTTTACCGATTTGGTGCAGCGACGCATGGGGTTTCTCAGCTGCCAATGGGATGTGCGGGATCCCTTGTGTGTTTCTGTACCTTTAAGGAGGTGGGGCGTCCTCCTGACAGGCCTGCACCCAATTTGATATCTTCTGCCCCATGTGCTCCAAGATGGAGACTCTCATAGTTTAGAGTTAGGACCGCACTATAAGAGGTGCCTTGGCGCGGCAGTGCGGCTTACACATCCTTTGCAGAAGACGTGTATCCAAACCTCTGTCATTGTCCTTAGTGGTGAGACAAGTTGTTTTACATGCTGTTTTGTGAGTGTGCCATGATGCCTTTCTACTGTTTTACTGTTCAAAGCCCATTTCGTGTGCACCTTACTGTATAACTGGTGACAAATTGTTGAGTGCGTTTGTCGTTTGTTTTGCTTGACCCTTAAAACACAACAACGCATCATTTTCCCGCACATGGCTCCCTTGGATGGAGTACATTCGGTCCCCTGAATACCTTACCCTCAGACGGACTTCTGAGACCTGACGTGTACTAAGATGCCAATCTTTATCCTTTACTGCTCTTACTCCCCTTCTTCACTCTTCACCCACTCCCACCTCCGGCCGGACCCGGCCCTTTCCATCTATCCTCCCCCCACCCTCCCTACTGCCTTCTCTACAAAGGCAACATCCCTTAGGCTGGGTTCACACCTAGGCGTATCGAATATGCGCGTTTGCCGCACGTTTTTACCGCGATTCGCGGTAAAAAAAACGCTCGTTTCCGAGTGCTACTTGGCTGTATCCCAATGGAAACGCGTGACAAAAACGCCCCAAAGAAGCTCCTGTACTTTGGGCGTAGGGCGTTTTGTAGCGCGTTCCTACGGCCTGTAGTACGCCCAAGCGTGAACCATACCCATAGGAAATAATGGGATTTCGGTGTTTGAGCGTTTTGCAGAGCGTTCGAATGCGCTACAAAACGCCCAGGTGTGAACCAGGCCTTACATTTGTGCAACTTGTACTTCAAACTACACCTGCAATATCAGAGGGATGCTGTTCCATCCATCACTCATTGACCTTTCTCCCTCCAACCCTGGGAGGGTAAGATCCTCCGTTATCCCTGTCGCTGTCCTTACTAGCGCACTAGAACAGAGGACGTTACAGATCAACAGCGCAATCAGAACGTGCGACAACTCTCACCCTACCTGTTCTCACAACCAAATGTTGATTATTACATGAACAGTTGTATACACTGCACCATGGACGCTATATTTGTCTCGGCGTTGATCAACTTGCGTTGAATATCTGCACTTATTTGACTTACCTGCATTTTTCCTTTCTGTAAAACCTAAAAAAATCTTAAATAAAGAATCTATAAAAAAAAAAAAAAGCTTTGAAATATTCTTTGGTTTATTCAATGACTGCAGAGCCAATCCGAATTCAGGTCTTGGTGATCTATGTACAGTGAGAGGAAGTACGTTTGGTTGTTCTGGGTTACTGGCCTTCATCTGCACTCTGTGAATAGCTGGATAAGCACATTCGATTTGGATTTACAAATGTGCATTTGCAGTAATGATAATCATTACTCATGAATTGTTAAAAAGCTGCACACCTATGAAGTTCTCCTCAGAACACAGAAGGAAGCAGCAAGAAAGGTGTTTTTTTACCTCAGTATTATAAGCTTTTGTATGCACCAACAAGGTGTACTGTGAAAGCTGTGCCCAAAAGACCAGTCACCGGTACTGTCTGTGGTCTCATCAGCTGATCTTTTCCCCATTACTTACTTAGTGACATTAAACCCTCAGATTTTTTAACATAAAACAATACTGTAATGTGCGCCTTACTGTAATCCATGGTAGTTTCCCTTCTCTTTGCTGCTCTTCCTTTTAAATCCTCATGTCTTCTCATGCTGGGGGAGAACTTCTGTTTTGCAGCAGACTGCCTTGTCTCTGAAATGGATACATGGTGTCTGTGTGTAGGTTCACAACCTGAGCCAGCACTACAGGAAGAGGCACTCAGCTGCAAAGGGAAGTTCTCCCCCAGCATGAGAAGACATGAGGATTTAAAAAGGAAGAGCAGCAAAGAGAAGGGAAACAACCATGGATTACAGTAAGGCGCACATTACAGTATTGTTTTATGTTAAAAAATCTGAGGGTTTAATGTCACTTTAACATACCTTGCTCCACACTCTGTGTCTCTATATGGAGGCAGCCATCTTGGTAGAGGCAGGACTTTGCTTCCTTATGTCAGAGCTGCTCCTTTATGACTGGTGGGGTACTGGTCAAAAAGCAGCAAAAGAGCTGCAGATAGCTCATATCGATTTCCAGTCTGGCCTAGTGCTGAGGCAGCGTTCATTGCTAGGTTACTGCTGTCTTCTGAAAGGCTATGCATGATTTATGACCAGTCACACACAATAATGGCCAACATTGGGATATGCAGGGATATTAGAATATGGAGGGAGCAGTACATGATGTGCTGGGCAGTCCAGACAGCAAGAAAGTAGACTAGTCTGCATCTATACATGAGAAGAGTGTTTGTGGAAGAAGAAAGGTTAATGGACTTTTCGGTACATGCACTTAGTCTTTAAGACTTCCAGAATCTCCAATTACATTTAAAAAAAAGCCCTGGAATTGGTAAAATAATACATTTCTGACTTGTATCCAATCCAGCCTGGAGAGGCTGTTCTGTATCCTCTATAATAACATATTATTTACCTTCTGGAACTGAATGTCTTGCAATACTGTCACGCAGTAGGCACCTCCGGTAATCCAGAGTCTGACAGGCCTGGTACGTCAAGGAACACCTACAACACAATCATCAGTTTAGATCTATACATGATCCATCTTCCCACCAAATATTATAAGCCTAATGTTAAAATGCCACCACTTGAGATGCTCGGGAGACTGCCCTATTCACGTCTAGGAGGGCTCACTGTGCAGGTACAGCCAACTGTAAACATGGTGCAAGGCAGCAGCTGTCCTACACACGCGAGTAACTGGAGGACGGATTTGTAGATTTCAGTCAGGAGGGCTAGGCAGGGTGGGCAAGTATACTTTTGTCCTTTGGCAGGTCACCTCTCTGCCCTTAGACTGTGAATGGACTCTGAAGGAGCAGCAACAGACTGATGAGGGCCGGTTCACACCAGAAACAGTGCGTTCCAGAGCGGTTGGGCTCTGGAACGCAATGAATAGCATTTCGGCCGGCTCCTTGCATTCAGGGGCGAGAGGGGGAATGCTGGTGCATTGAAGTCAATAGCACCGCAGCCACGCCTCCGCCCGCAGTGTGATCGCTCGCACCCGAATGAGTGGCACATTAGTGCCTGCGTTCCAGTCCAGTGCGATCTGTAAAAATAGTGCTTGCAGCACTGGACCTGAACACAGGTACTAATGTGATCGCACTGAGGGCAGGGGCGTGGTTGTGGTGCCACTGACTTCAATGCACCGCCACGCCCCCTCCCGCAGGAATGCAATTCAGTGCGTTCCAGACCCGACCGCTCTGGAACGCACTGTTTCTGGTGTGAACCGGCCCTGAGGTCACCTTTCTGTTAGCACATTCTATGTCACTACATGTTCATGCAGCACAACTGACTGTCCCCAAATGCTGCCTCTAAAAGGTGCCCATACACCTTACGACCATCGCAAGACCTTTGTCTTGCGATGGTCGTATGCTTATTGAAAGCTCGTACGAACTGCCCATCTTGGACAGGCAGATCGTACTTGTGATCATCGAAAGCCCGCCCCGCTGAGGGGCGGGCTTCCGATGACCGCAATGCAGAACGGGCAGTGTGCACACCGGCCCGTTCCACAGCTATCGAACGAGCAGGCTAGAACCCCGCCGACAATCGTACGATTCTCGGCGGGTTTTTGAGCATGCTGGTTCGACAAAAGACGTGCGACCGTACAGTAGAAACGGTCGCACGCCTTCCATACACTGTACGATTCTCGTACGATCGCGGGATTTCCCGCGATTCTCGTACGAGAATCGTACAGTGTATGGGCACCTTTACTCTCACAGTCTGAATATTTTTTTACTGGGCTTTACAAGGGACTGACATGAGGTAAAATTCTGGCATTTGTGCTAATTGAAACAGCCATTATTTTAATACAAATGCTTTATTTAGTGTACAGAATATATATATTTATTATACACAATATTCAGACCCCCTTCACTTTTTTCAGTGTTGTTATGTTGCAGCCTGATATTACAGTAGTTTAAATTCTTTTGTTCTCATGAATCTACACTTAGTACCCCATAATAACAAAGTGAAAACGGAATTTTGGAAATGTCTGTGAATTTATAAAAAAGTAAAAACTGAAATATCACATTGGCATAAGCATTCAGACCCTTTACAACATCACTTGAAATTGAGCTCAGGTGCCTCCTATTTCCCTTGATCATTGCTGAGGTGTTTCTACACCTTGATTGGAATCCACCTGGGGTAAATTACATTGATTGGATATGATTTGGAAAGGCTCACACCTCTCTATAGAAGGCCTCACAGCTGACAATGCATTCTGTATCAGAGCAAAAGCCATGAGGTCATAGGAGCTGCCTGCAGAGCTGAGACAGGAATATTGCAAGGCACCGATCTGGGGAAGGCTACAAAAACAATTCTGCTGCACTGAGGGCCGGTGTGCACAACAAACTCCGCTTTCCAGTGCGTTCGGCCTCTACTGCAATAGCAAAAAGTTTCCCAGCACACTCACCGGCCAGCAGGCAAAAAAACTTGTCTCACCGAATAGGTTAAAAACAGAGGTTTGGATACACGTCTTCTGCAGAAAAAGTGAAAGCCGCACAACCGCGCCAAGGCACCTGTGATAGTGCGGTCCTAACTCTAAACTATGAGAGTCTCCATCTTGGAGCACATGGGGGCAAAAGATCAAATTGGGTGCAGGTTTGTCAGGAGGAAGCCCAACCTCCCTAAAAGGCACAGAGACGCACCAAATCAGTCAAGCAAAACAAATAGCAAACGCACTCATCAATTTGTTGGGAGAGAGAGAGAGAGGAGAGAGAGAGAGAGGGGAGAGAGAAGAGGAGAGAGAAGAGGAGAGGAGAGGAGAGGAGAGAGAGAGAAAAAGAAACTGCACTTTACAAATGAAAATAAATATATATAGCATATATAATTGCTCCACAAGCCATTTCGTAATTTCATGTTATTAAAAGATACCTTTCCATGTAAAACTGCAGCAACAACCATCGCACGACTTTCGTTGTGCGATGGTTGTAAGGTGATTAAAATTACGTACGATCTGCCCATCATGGACAGGCAGATCGTACTTGCGATCATCGCAAGCCCTCCCCGCTGAGGGGAGGGCTTGCGATGATTGCAGTGCTGAGCGGGCAGTTTTTCGCTTGCGCACACTGGCCCGTGCAGCATGCGTCTTTAGAGCACGCCACCAACCCGACGATTTTCGGCAGGTTTTCCAGCGCGCTCGGAAGACGAAAGTCGTGCGACCTTACAGTAGATGCGGTCGCACGCTGCCCATACACCTGCCGATTATCGTATGATCGCGCGATCGCTCGCGATTATCGTACGATAATCGGCAGCATAAGAGATAACTACTTATACAGGGATACAGAAACTGCAACTGTCCTCATTAGAGTTCACAAGGTGGTTATAATGAACCTGACACTCTCATTCAGGAATCAGTATGCAAAGGACATGGGGAAACAAACAGCAATGCCTCCAGAACAGAAACGGGTAGAAAAAAAAGCAAACATTTATAAATGGCAGGTTCTCTTTAGGTGGGCCTACCTGCTCCAGAGATGTCCTTTAGGGCAAACAGCCTTTTTACTATCAGCGAATGGAAGGACTTGCTTACACAGAGTGCAGTATTCTGGGAACATTTGCTTGTTCATCTTCTTCTCAATATGCCCAATGAGCACCTGCATAAAGCAAATACAAGACAATGAGTTGCCAAGCAACTACAATGGACTGTTCTTTAAAGAGCAAATACGCTGTAATATTAAACATGATGTGATGAAGGGGAAGTAGACACAGTACTTGGTTTGTCTATTTATGAAGGTTTCAGTGTGTTTCAGAAGTGTCACATTTAGGGCACACTCAAATCCTGTTTCCCTCCACACCGGCTACCATGGTAGATCTGGCAGCTTACCCGGTAGAGACGTTGGGGTCTGCTCACCATTATCCCTTTCTCACCATAAAACAATAACAATACACTGCAAGAAAACGCATTTCAAGTAGAAATCCTTCAATGATTACTGTGCATCCATGCAGCTGAAAAGCAGTGGGAACTATGTACAGCTAGGGAGGCAAGTGTTCGATCAAAGTTTGTGACTGCGTTAGAATGTGTGACCGGTGACGTGGTCACACATTTTAACATAATCCCGCCCAGTTTTTTGGCAGTGGAATGTGTGACCACACATTTGGTCACACATTTTAACGCAGTCACGCCCATTTTCCCCGGTGTTAAAATATGTGACCGGCAAAAGGTGTCAAATTCAAAGGTTTCTCAGCTGTTCCGGGGCAGATCGGCATCGTATGTGCAGGAGAACCGATCTGCCCTGGAACAGCTGATCGGTCCTGAAATGTCACTTCTATCCGACTTTGTGAAATGTGAGATCGCACTCACAAAGAAGTGACATTTTAGGACGGAGTCACTGTTCCAGGGCAGATCGGTTCTCCTGCACATACCATCTGCGATGCCGATCTGCCCCGGAACAGCTGAGAAACCTTTGAATTCTACACCTTTTGTCGGTCACATATTTTAACACCGGGGAAAATGGGCGTGACTACGTTAAAATGTGTGACCAGTCACACACTCCAACCCAATCACAATCTTTGATAGAACACAGACATTAAATAGAACACACAATTCCTGTCCGTGAAGTAAAACACACACACACACACACACACACACATATATAAAAAGTGAATAAAAAACAAGCGTTTAAAATACACAAACACACAAGTACATGTGATACTGCACACTCATAGGTGTCGCTGGCATCAGAACCTCAGCTTTCAGAAAAGCAGGCAAGGCTAAAACTTTTTTTTTTGCCGTAGTTCTCTATAGCGTCCCATAAGGACATATACTAATGCCCTCCTGTGACCCAAAACTCTAGTAACTCAAGCTAGTGCCTGCTATATGCTGACAGTGCAGAGCCGCGCTGCAGCCTAGACGGATCCCAACAAAATTGTCGGGATCCACCCTGCTGCCTGATTAAAAGCTGGCTTTGCCTCTCTAGAGGTAGAGCCATCTGTGCCCGCACCCCCGTCCGTCCAGTCAGCGCTGGAGGAATCGAGAGGGGAGGGGGGAATCTTGACAGTCACGGCTCTCTGCAGGGAGATGATCGGGGACTGAGTGATGGGCGGTATGCGATTATTCAGTTCTCGATCAATAGAGCCAACATGTGATGGCCTCTGTGTCACACGTCGGCTCCAATTATGGGGGTGCGTGGATTTCACTCTCCCCACAGTTCTCCTAAAACATTCAGAAGACACGGCTGTATATCAAGCTTATAAAACATTGAAGACCCCCAGGCGCACAGCATTTTAAATGAAAGTAATAACACCTTTATTTCAATATTCATTCTCTTGAAGAGCTACAGCCGCCATTGGAATCTTTAGCATCCAACACTTCTGGGTGTCTCAGCGGCCTGTGTGCAGCATGGTGCAGCTCAACCCATGACCAAGACATCACTAGTGTTTCTGCAGAGAGACCGAGCAGGGGTGCCATAGGTATCCCACGTACCAGCTGAAGATTCAAATGGCGGCTGTAGCTGTGCAAGAGACTGAAATCAGCGGTGAGGGCAAAAAAAAAAAAAAGGGCAATCCTTCTAGACAAGAGCTGCACTTTAAATGGAACCTCTCATTCTGGCTGTTACCTGTCAGAAATAAAGGTTCCCAACCAGGGATGGAGAAAATTTAATTTTGTCAGGTTAAAACCGAAACCATTTTTTTCCCCCGGCCTTTTTCAAATATTTTTATTATAATTTTTTTTCTACTTTACCGTTAGGGGTTTTGGGGGATATTCCTGGGTCTAAACAGACTAGGGCTGCAACCAAGTAAACGATTAAGCGATAATGAAACTAGTTGTCAACTATTCTCATTATCGATTAGTTGGTTGGATCCCCCAGCTCTCTCCTCCACGCTGGGAGGAGGACACAGCAAGCAGTGGGCGGGTGCAATAGCCGGCCCGCTATTGCAATTTGAAATGCCCAATAGCAGGCTGGCTATTGCACCAGTCCACTACCTGCTGTATGTACATTCAGCTGCCGTCTGTGGAATCTTGCTACTGGCAGCTCTCACTCCCTGGCTGAAGCTATTCAAGCGCCATGTGCTGACAATATAAATTCTCAAAAAAAAAAATTATACAAAAAGGTGGGAAAGACAAATTCCGCTGCGGGGGGTGCGTTGCTGTGCCATTCATTTCAAACGCACCTTCCACCCACAGTGTAATCACCCACACTGGAACGCACGGTACGGCAATGCTGTGCGATCCAGTGCAGTGCGATTGCAAAATATTGTGCATGCAGTTTTATTCTGAAGTAAACTTTGCAACACTCCATTAGTGTATTTTATTTAAAATTAAGGATGATACTTAGTTTTTTTAATCCGATTATTCAAAACAATAAATCGGCCAACTAATCGATTATGAAAATAATCATTAGTTGCAGCCCTAAAACAGATAGATTTTTCCCTTTTAATATAGAAAAAGAGATTGAGGACAGAGTCCTCAGTCTCTTTTCTGCAGCCCGTTATGAATAAACAAGAATCCTCTATCCTGAGTGCTCCTGTTCATCCATAAACTAAGGCGATAGTAACTGATACTATGTCCACAATCATGAATGAACAGGAAGTGATGTAGAGGACTTCCTGTTCATTCATAACTGGGGACACAGAAAGTATACTATGACCTCAGTTATTTACAAACATCAGTGATCAGTACCGATTGCTGAGTGTTTGTACTGCGCTCTCCATCCTGACTGCTCCGCCTGTCACAGGAGGCCGAGCTCTCCTCCCCACACCGTTCCACTTGGCCTCCTGACAGTTTGTCTCCTCCCCACTGGGTGCTGGCAGCTAGACCAGCTTCATGTCCCCCCCAATCCCTGCTGCCTCTGCCGACACAGGCGGGGGACAGCAGCGGGGATCGGAGGGGACACAGTCCAGCGAGGAGGAGGAGAGAAGCTAGGGATGCACCACATTTGTGGTCATTTTGGTACTATAGGCATTTTGTCCATAGTACCATTTTTGGACAAAATGTGTCGACGGACGAAATTTCGGTGCATCCCTATTCCCAACCAGTGTTAATGGCTATAACCCAAATTCCTGAACTAAAACCACTTCAGGTTGTCGGTGATATCTACCTCTAGTGTTGAACAGCAGCCTTGGCTGTGGGAGGCAACAGTCAATGAGTTTAAAAAGTGACATTAAACCCTCAGATTTTGTAACATAAACCAATACTGTAATGTGCGCCTTACTGTAATCCATGGTTGTTTCCCTTCTCTTTGCTGCTCTTCCTTTTAAATCCTCATGTCTTCTCATGCTTGGGGAGAACTTCTGAGCACTACAGCTGAGTGCCTCTTTCTGTAGTGCTGGCTCAGGTTGCAAACCTATACACAGACACCATGTATCCATTCCAGAGACAAGGCAGTCTGCTGCAAAACAGAAGTTCTGACCAGCATGAGAACAGATGCAGATTTAAAAAGGAAGAGCAGCAACGAGAAGGGAAACAACCGTGGATTACAGTAAGGCGCACATTACAGTATTGGTTTATGTTAACAAATCTGAGGGTTTAATGTCACTTTAAGGTTACCCTCAACAAGGACCTACTGCGTCTTAAATAAGAGCAATATTGGACTGCGACACAAAGACAAACCTTTGAAAACAAAAGGCAAATTACTGAACAGCAATAATGTAACAAGACTAGATAAGGCACCTGGACTGTCCTATCTTCACCGTCTTTGTTGGCCATAAGATAGGCACAGATACCACGGGTAGGGACACTGGTATATTCTGTGATGCCAGTGTGTAGATAGACTTCTCCCAAAACATGTTTCATGTTTTCCTTGGTCAAATGTGCCTCCAGGGCTTCAATTTTCTGTTGAATTTCCAAAAGACTTTCATCAGCTGGAGAAGACTCTACATCAGGCTCTGCAGTGTCTCTCGATGTACTTCCAGAGCTATCGCCATGCTTATCCTCATCCAGGTCCTTTTCTTCCTCAAATATGCTGCCCTCAACAGGGGCGTCTTCAGTCCTGGAAACCTTCGATTCCTGGAAAGATTGTTTCCGCATTGCTTCATAAGTGATTTTCTTAAAAGACTGGTACCAAATTTTCAGAAGAAAAAGTCGGAACCTCCAAAAGTACAAGGGCCCCCCATCTACCTTTTTGTCCAAGGCATCCATTAAAAACTGAGGGATGACCTTGTCTTTCAGGATCTTCCAGCGCACAAGGTCTGTCAGGTCCATTTGCCGGAAGAGATTTTGGCTAGAGCTCTCGAGAAGCTGAGCTGCAGCTTCCTCAAATGTCTTGAGGACCACAAAGTTGACCTGAAAGTTCTTGTTCACTGGATGAATTCCGTTGTTCAAGCCTTCTGAGGTGATGCAAGCAAGATATGCTCCAAAGGGACTGGTGGCAATGCCGTGAGATTTCACTGACCCAAACATCTCTGACAGGTTAATGAGCTGATGTTCAAACTTTAAAGCAAAGCTTGTGAAAAGAGGTATCAACTGCTGAACCTTTCCATCAACAGAACAGGAATAAATAGTTCCATTCTGCTTGTCAACAGACAAAGAAATGATAGGTAAGGAGTGAAGTCCAGTTACGTGGGAATTGTGAACATTGAGTCCTGCTTTTGATATCAACAACAAACACCAAAAAACATAGCAACCGCGGGCAGCAACCACAAGACTGCAGCTGCACTTCTGGTACGGGTGATAGAGAGCTATACACTTAATACTGTTGACTGGCAAATGGTCAACCTCTTGCCAAAGGATCACCGGCTGCCGCAATGTGAAGTATCCTTTGACGGCCTTTAAATTCACTGGGATGATTTTGACCGGGCCCAAACTGCTGCCTACAATCAGTCCACTCATTTTACGGTTGCTGTGCTCATACTCCCACCACGCCAAGGCGCTTGGTGACTCGACCCCAGACATGATGGTGTTGCAGGAAATAATGGAGGTGCGGTCCTTTATAGGGAGCTGGAACTGCCAAATGGCAACATCTCCATTTTCAAAGAGGACGGCCAACAGAACAGTGCCAACATCTCGGCAAGTGTTGTTTTCCATGATCTCCTGAGTAGTGCATATGCTGGACCACTCCATCCGCACAGGGGTCTGCATGCTGTGCCGCCTTTGGTACTCAGGAAAATCCTCCAGTTCTGAATGGACGGCATCCTCAGTCACTGTGTAGTTGCTCTGAGCTAAACGCTCACCATACATTTCCGTCAGGTCTGCCAATTGCTTCCATTGCAGTCTGTCGACATTTGCATTGATGGTCAACCGGTTATCCAGAGTCAGCGCAGCTAGAAGGCATCGTCCATTGGCATCGCAGCCCGCAGGAGTCCAGCAGGCATATTTGTATCCTTGCAAGGGTGGAAGTCCTTTTCCTTCAGGGTTAAATACTCTGTCCAACATAAACTTTTGGCTGATTGTCGGGTCATTTGACCTGGCAAACTTCGCTCTGCACTGCTCCACTTCCTTCGGGGAACCGATCTGCAAAGATGAAAGAGACAGATCAGTATGCAGATAAGGAGTTGCTAGAACCAGACATTAGCCATGCAGGGCAAAACAATACTCACTTTAACGTACACTTCCCTTTACTACATTCCCTATGGGGAGCAGAGAAACACAGACCCTTCCTTTCTCTACATTCCCTATGGGGAGCAGAGAAACACAGACCCTTCCCTTTACTACATTCCCTATGGGGAGCAGAGAAACACAGACCCTTCCCTTTACTACATTCCCTATGGGGAGCAGAGAAACACAGACCCTTCCTTTTACTACATTCCCTATGGGGAGCAGAGAAACACAGACCCTTCCTTTTACTACATTCCCTATGGGGAGCAGAGAAACACAGACCCTTCCTTTCTCTACATTCCCTATGGGGAGCAGAGAAACACAGACCCTTCCTTTCTCTACATTCCCTATGGGGAGCAGAGAAACACAGACCCTTCCTTTTTCTACATTCCCTATGGGGCGCGGAGAAACACAGACCCTTCCTTTCTCTACATTCCCTATGGGGAGCAGAGAAACACAGACCCTTCCTTTCTCTACATTCCCTATGGGGAGCAGAGAAACACAGACCCTTCCTTTCTCTACATTCCCTATGGGGAGCAGAGAAACGCAGACCCTTCCTTTCTCTACATTCCCTATGGGGAGCAGAGAAACGCAGACCCTTCCTTTCTCTACATTCCCTATGGGGAGCAGAGAAACGCAGACCCTTCCTTTCTCTACATTCCCTACGGGGAGCAGAGAAACGCAGACCCTTCCTTTCTCTACATTCCCTACGGGGAGCAGAGAAACGCAGACCCTTCCTTTCTCTACATTCCCTATGGGGAGCAGAGAAACGCAGACCCTTCCTTTCTCTACATTCCCTACGGGGAGCAGAGAAACGCAGACCCTTCCTTTCTCTACATTCCCTACGGGGAGCAGAGAAACGCAGACCCTTCCTTTCTCTACATTCCCTACGGGGAGCAGAGAAACAAAGACCCTTCCTTTTACTACATTCCCTATGGGGAGCAGAGAAACACAGACCCTTCCTTTCTCTACATTCCCTATGGGGAGCAGAGAAACACAGACCCTTCCTTTCTCTACATTCCCTATGGGGAGCAGAGAAACACACGCTTATGCTAGAATTGAGGGCTTTTGAAAGGCGTACTGAAGCAGGGTTCTGTGATGTTTTCAGGAAGCTACCGTATGTCCAGCATCCCACCACCAGCCATGATATGCCTGCATTGCATAAATGAGCACAGAGACACAGTGGTGACATCACTGGGTCTAATACAGGGATGGACAAACGAGTATGGATTCCAGAAGCCAGTCTGTCCAATCCCAGAGCCAGCAGGATTTTGTTTTAGGAGTCTGCTCCATTGACAACAACTAGAGGGAACATCAGAAGTTAGGAGCCAGATGTCATTTATAGGAAGCATTGGGATTTGTCCAGCGCTGGTCTACAATAAGGTAAGTAACAAAAACGCAAAGGTTTTATTTACAAATGTTATTAACAAAGGGGGAAGGAACCGGGGACGGCAAATTCTACGCAGAATAAACTTCAAAGTAGGGATGCACCGATCCCGGTTTTTCAGTATTAACCTCCCTGGCGGTCTGATTTTTTTTTTAACTTTCAAATTTCCCACCGGTTCCGCCCCCTGCGACACGGACGCTTGTAAGGGACGGAACCCGGATGCCGGCATCGGCCAGAGGACACAGCGCGGATCGTGGACAAGGCAAGTAACGCACTGTGTAATCCCGAGTGTGGCTCGCGGTTACCGCTTTTGGTAATTAAAATTAACCCCGAGCCACACTCGGGATTACCGCCAGGGAGGTTAAGTACGAGTACCGATGTTAATTTTTTGGTACTCACCGTTACCAAGTACCGATACCGGTACTTCTGGTGGCATAGGGTCGGCTTCCCGGACAATTGTCCGGTAAGCCAGGCAGCGTGTCATTACCCACCGCCCGACTCGATTGCCCGGGAAGCCCAGCTGGCCGAGGGACTGGTACGTTAATGACTGCTGCTAAGGATCTATGTGAGGGAAGTGAGGTGCCTGCAGGGTGGGAGTCGTGTCGCCATATTATCAGATTTGTTTGCACGGCTCGACACTGATTGGCTTGGAATCCGGCTTCCAAGCCAATCAGCACCGAGGCGGCCAAACACCATGGAGCCAGCTTCCCGGCTCCATGCTTCCTCGTGGCACCGGCGGTCAGAGGAATTCTCCCTCTGACTGGAAGTTGCAGTATCGGGAAAGGTAGCGGTACTCGGCACCAATACTAGTATTGGTACATCCCTACTTCAAAGCCTATCTCTATTTTATTGGTTATTTTGCTTTGGATAGAAGGGTGAAGGGTTAGATCATTGGTGCCTGTGCCCCCCATTGGGAAGATTCCCCTTCTATTAGTCCCAGTGACCACTGTCACCCAGAAAGAAAGGGAAGACACTGGTACCCTCTCACTTTGGGAGATCTCCTCCCCACTCCTGTTGTGTCTAAAGGACAGGAAGTGACATTTTCCAAATGGAACACAGAAAGCAAAACATAAACGGTCAGCTTAACCCTTCACTGCTCCTTCCAAAACTAAAAAGAACGTTTTGTCTCTACATACACGTTACACAGTGTCACATACATAGGCAGCAATGAGCTCGTAGGTGAACAAGGATCCCACTTTCCCCCAAATCATCAGGAGGGGGCCCCGGTGTGCTCGCAGTATACTCTACTACATACAGCAATGCTCCACGGGTGACTCGTTCCGCATAGCACTGGATGAAGGGTGCCGGCTGTAGCTCCGCCTTACCCGGAGGAAGCAGGTCTTGTGCGGGGCGGACACACAGGTGCGGTGCAGGGTGAGCTCCGGGCTGTTGCCATGGATATCACACAATTGTTCCAGGACGGAGACATTGCTGCTGGTGCACACGGACAGCCTGTGGTCCTCCGACCAGGACAGCGGATCCAAACCGGTCACCGCCTGCAACAACTTCACCACCGGCTCCCGCTTCCCGACCGACAGACGGAAGCTAGGTCGCGGGTCCTCAGAACACCCCGGCCCCCGCTCTGGCTCCGACATCGCTCTTACTACAGAGCCAGGCACAGCGACGTCATCAGAGCGCGCCCGGAGAACAGAGAGTGGACCCCTGCTGCCATGGGGACAGGGCTGTCCTCCACAGAGCCTGTCTGAACTCACAATTATTCGGCTGATTACCCTGTAGCAATGTCATGTTAATGAATACATTGATTACCAATAATAATAAATGAGAGTAATTTATTATCTTAATAAGATAAAAACATGAACGTATATTTTTATTTTTATATTATGATTTCCATACAGGGTAATACTGATACTATTAGTACAACTTATTCTATTATTACTAATAATAATACTAATAATAATGTAAAACATTTTTTTAACAAGTATAACAGTATAACATAAGTAATTTATTATCATAATCATTTTACTTAATATTA